TTGACTAGAAAATCTAATGAAATGAAAGGTACAAGGAAGCAAACCGACTATTACGAAACTATTCGAGGACACCCACAAACGTCATCGACATAGAGGAGTGTGGATAAATAACACGGTTGAGGAACATCATGTAACCATAACTATTTCGATTTCAATAATAAATGTTTGCATTTTGATATTATGTTTTAAGCTTATTTATGTTTCATTCATAGGCCACTATGGTTTCAAACATTGCTGAGCAATCTCAACCTAGTGTCACACATTCATTGTCTGAGGAGCAGATTTCCAGGGAAGTACTTGGGAAGAGGTCGGTCTACTTGAACGGATACGGGATCCGCAAGGACAGTACTTCATCTTTTACACATTTTGAGGATCCTAACTCCGAGGTAATTGTTCTTCAATAGCAGTTAGTTGACCAACGGCAACAATTACCTAACCAAGGAAAGCAGTTAGTTGACCAACGGCAGCAATTACCTAACCAAGGAAAGCAGTTACTTGACCAGGCTCAAAACATGAGTACAATGCATACTATAATTCAAATGTTGGCAACAAAAAATGGGATAGATCTAGCAAACATTTCGGGGTTAGTTACAAGCAACAATGTTGGGGAGGATGCATCGGGTGTAGGGGAGAATAAAACTTCTCTCGGTTGAAATGGAGGTAAATTTGACACCTCAATAAATTGATTTACTTTATTTAACGAATCCTAACATGTGTCAACAATATAAAATTATATAAACTTTGTATTACAATCCTAGCATTACAACCTTTGTATACAATAGCTTGATAAAACAATAGCTTCATTACAATTTTCTGATTAATTTTAACTATATTTGTATATTATTGTTGAAGTTAATGCATTAATGAAATACTCATGTTTTTATCCTTTTGTACACAGGTTGGTGATGGACGTTCGTGGTTCAGTAGTGACATATATTGTTTTGCATGTTGGCATTCATTTAATTTTCTTTGTTTCGTTTTATAGGTGTTTTTGTTGAATGTTTATATACTTTTTTGAATTATTATGTTTGGGATTGTTGGATATAGTTAGACGCATTTTAGGATTCTTATGTTTAGTATTGTTGGATATTTGAATAAAATTTGGGATATTGAAATGCATTTGATATTAATTTGGTTACATTACTAATTGCTATGATGTGTTCAGTTTAAGTTTTACGCAATGTTATACAAAGGTTTTTTTTTTTTTTTGTATGTTTTACAGAGAAATACAGGTTACTTAGAAATCCAGGTTCAGGAAGTGGATCAATTAGGGTGTAGGTGTAGTATGAATTGCTAAGTAATAATAGGTCATGGGAAGCTAAGATTGAATTTGTTTTAGATGGTTAGGCTAACAATATTTTAATCATCAGGAAAAAAGTATAGGGTGTCAATGTGTCTTATTTTATCTTACATTTTTTATATTCATTTGCAGTAACTTGTTTTCAAATTCATTTTTTGTTCCCAAAGGAAAGAAAAAATGGCTTCATCTTTAATTCTGCTAGTTGTTGCTGCTGCCGTGGTGGCTGATGCTTACTGCGGCTGCTGCTGCTGCTGCAATGTTGATGTGAGGCGTGCATACTGCCAATCCGTCTGATGAAGAACTTGCTGAATCAGCAGTTGTGATATGTGAAACTTGTGCAACATGTGTTGCACTGTGTATACAACTAAGGAAGTGAATGGGTTGCGGAATGTGGGTGAAGTTGCACCTGTCGGGCATGCATGTTGAAGGGAAGGTAACAACTATTATATTCTTATTTTTAGACTAGACAGTGTATGCATGGTATATTTTTTCATTTGTATTATATTTTCATAGCCTTTAATGAATTTGAATATTATATGAACGTTGAAAACTCGTGGTTAAGATATCTGTTAGACTTGTGGTTAACAAATTAGAATAATATAGTAGTCTCACATTGATCAACTTGACTGAGCAATTGATGTGAGTTATTTGACTTATTTCTTTTTTACTGTCAAGGCTTGCTCTGTAATCTTTTTATTTATTTCTTTATTTCTTTATTTGGCACTTGTCATTACATAATTTGATGAGGTGAAAATGTTAATCATTTGATGGATTTATTTTTCAATGGACTAAAGCAAGTTATATAGAGTCTTATGTTGATTCCATAGTGTTAGACTCCACTTTCAGCTTTTTTTGGTCAAAGTTTTCGTATCGTTTTCAGTAGATTTTGCTAGTCTAGTGAGCGATCCATTTTTTTCACTGTAGAATTGGTTTTATTTTTGGCATTTTACAGTTTTTCAATTATGTGGATCGATTTTGTTGAATCTTTTGATTGTTTGGTCTTGAAATTCGACTTTCGGGGGCAAAGTGTTTGAACCTTGTTCTTTTTTTTGCTGGAAATTCCTGTTTAGGTCTTTGCCTCATTTGAATTGTTTTCAACACTCCTTTCGGGTTAGAATTTAGTTAAATTTATCAGTATTGTGAAGATTTTTATGTGTTTGAGTTGAATTTCAAGTCTCACTTGATGTCATACAGTGTTTGGTTCATGAAATGCTTGGAATTTAATATCAATTTGCTTATTTGATTGCATAAGCCTATTTAGATGTAGTTTCTGCTTATTTAGAATTGTAACGGTGGTTAATGAGGTTTCACTGATTGATCCAATTTAAATTTTGTTTGTTGCTCAGACATTGGAGGGAATTTTAGGTGATAATAAAGGAATTAACAATCTCTTGCATTGAGTGATCGTTTACTGCTTTCCATTTGAAGCACTTTCCTTGTAAATAGAAGTGATAGTAAAGTCTAATTGAAGTGTGTTCCATGTGAGAGGAAACATGGCTTTTTTTAGGAATTACTCTAATGAAACGGTTTCGCAGAGTGCCTTAGATGACAAAGGCCAAGGACAGACCATGGTGAGAATGCATGGAATGGTAGGACATGAAGATGTAGAGGAAACTTCTAGTGCTAAAGATTTTGAAATCAAGATGGATGGCCACCATGGAAGTGATGGTGAACCAGATGATGCAAGTAGACACCAAGATGGTGTAACTGCCGACAATGGTGGAACATCGAATTTGTAGCCTTCTGGAAAGAGAACTGCTATGGCTGGCAAATGATGGAAATTGCTTTTTTGCAGAACTTAAAAAATTGATAAATATATGTATACGTAGAGTTATATGTAGCCTGCAACAACAGATAGACTGGAATATATTGTGGAAGCCATGGTGAAGATAAACCTGTAGGCATTCCAGATAAAGTGCTGTGCTATGTACTATAATGGTGTATGCCGAGTCAACATCCTTCTTTTGTAGGCATTTTTCTTGTCCACCTTTAATCTAAAAGTGGGCTGCTTTCTTGCAATGTGATGTTCGTTGGTTCTCATATATTTTCTTCAGTGTTATTCTTTCTTAAAAGACTGTTTGTTCTTAAATCAAAAGAGTGTGATATTAGTTATAGTTCAACTAGTGCATGTTGTAGTTTATGGCAGTGCACTATAGTTCTTCCATTTTCAGTAACTTTTTAGGCTTTTGCATTTCTCTGTATGTACACAAACTAGCTTGTCTATGATATTAACATGCGTTCTCTGCAAAATCTGCCCCAAATTTTCCCAAGTTTTCTAACTTCTCTTCGATATGAATCTAATCTCCACTTGTATTATTTCAATAATGAACATTTCGTTCAACTTACCATTAGGAGTTGCAGTGACAATTGCATCTCTATATTGTGGATATGCTATTTTGTCCACAGTGTGTGCTAATTAATAGAATTGTTCATGACACTGCAGAATGTACAAACTATGTGCATATGATATTTCATTACATTTCCTTATCAAAGAATTTGAACTAATTCTCCCATAATTGAGAGTTTCATATATGTTGTAGATGTTCTTCAGGTTTCATAATAATGGTATTATTTCCTTTGTTAAGTCACTCTTTTGTTATCAGTTTCTTGTTCTGGTTCCTTTTTTTCTTTAAATTTATTTTTTTTTTCTTTTTCCTTGTGGGTGGGAGGATTTTTGGGATAGTGGATTCCTTCTCATGTACAAATTCCACATGGATGGGAAGGGAGCAAGATACATAAATTTTACAAAGTGATTAATAGAATGTGAAGCTAGTCTGTTCAGGGTTTTGGGATGCTAATCAATAGTAATGTGATACCATTTGTCTGAAACCTTAATTCCATTTGAACTGGATTTTGAGCAGGAGTCGAAAAGCGGATTTGAGTAAAAAAACGAAGATGAATCTGAAGAAGATTCATTAGACTGAAGAGAAGATAGATCAGGGTCAGAAGGTGATGATGGGCAGAAGGAAATAGATAAGGTTCAAAGGGGTCAAATTGATGTCCCTGCTGATGAGATGTTCTTTGAGGATTACTATGAGTAGGATGGAGATGATCAGAGTGACTCCTTGCATTACCAAACATTAAACCATTCTAGTGGCTTTAATTCGCAGCTGCAGCCAAGGTCTGTTGCTGCAAACAACAATGTGGCTAGGAATTTGAAAACTACAAATGGCGAAGAATATGATGATGAGGATGATGATTATGAAGATGATGATAATGAGGAAGATGATTAGAGTGACTCCTTTCATATTTGCTTCTATTAGGATTGCTGCTTCTGTACTTGACTGTTAAATAGTTTCACTTATTATTATTATTATTATTATTATTTTTCTTTTGCAGCTTATTATAGATGTAAACGTAGCTGTTGCAGTTGAAGCCATCCAGGCAATTGGGAATCCTGCTAAGGGCTTAAGAACCTATTTCTCTGGCAATTCAATCTTCTTATTGCCTGTTTTGCTTATGAGTACATCATTGAAAGTTGTTACCAAATCTGTTTAACTTTATGTGTTCCTGCATTTATGGTGGGCCGTATTCATAATTTGTATTATGATTGTCGAGTGTCATCATAATTTTTTAAATGTTTCTTTGTAATTCAGTCTCAGTCCTTCACTACAAGAAATTGACTGGAGAGCCAACTATGCTAAAATCCACTGAAGATGCTGACCAAGGTTTTTCTGAACACTTGGATGAATAGAGATAAGGATCTTTCTCTGAGGAATGTGAGGCATTTTATCCCTGATGAATGTGACAAGATGCTCGAGTCACTTGGTATGTTCCTCCCCTACCCCCTCACCCCAAATCACCACCATATTGTTTTGTTTAAGTGTTCTGATACCTTGTAATTTCTCTGCTTCACATGTACTGCAGACATGAGGACAGATGTGCAGGAGATATTCAAGATGACTCCTCATGACAAACAAGTTATGATGTTTTCTGCAACACTTAGCAAGGAAATCCGTCCTGTTTGCAAGAAATTTATGCAAGATGTAATGTCACATGACCAGTTCAACTTGAATTTAGAAGAATCCTATTCCATAAATGTCAGCTTTCTGCTGGCGATAAATAAATAGGCATGCAGTGGTTGCAGGCTTACAGCCTTTTATGCTTTCAGTTTTGCATCTTGTTTATGCCCATTATTCAATATTCTACCTAAGTATGTAATGTGATAGGGGATGGATAGTGGCAAAAGAAAGATCGGTCTTTAGCTCTGATGTGTGGGGATAGTTTCTTCCTTCTTCGATACCTTATTTTTTCTTTTGTTCACATCCCTAGTTATTTTCTTGTTTACTTTAGTCCTTGAGTGTGCGTTTTTAATGCGGTTGATGCTGTATATCTTTCCTGTGGCTCCTTTTGGTTACATAATAGTATATGTGTTGAACAATAGTGGACTTGCTTCTTGTGAGTTAGAATATCTACAAGGAGACATCAGATGGACCAGAATCTCGATTAAAGGGTTGTTTATCCATCATTCATTTCGTGATGGAGTCCATTACCTTTAGGAAGGCTGCTAATATGTTTTACTATGACATTTCTTCCTTTCAGCCAATGGAAATTTATGTTGATGATGAGGCAAAATTTACCCTTCAAGCTGGTTTTCGGTCTTTACCTTATTTTTGAGCATTATCTTACGTCTAAATTTTTTCCTCATGTCAGCACTACATCAAATTGAGTGAGCTAGAGAAGAACCGCAAGCTGAATGACCTTCTTGATGCACTAGACTTCAATCAAGTTGTTATATTTGTCAAAAGTGTAAGCAGAGCTGCTGAGCTGAACAAATTGCTGGTTGAGTGTAATTTTCCATCGATCTGCATCCATTCTGGCATGTCCAAGGAAGAAAGGTTTGTATTATAGCAAAAATATTTACATTCCTCTAGAAAATCCACATTTACTTATGGCTATTTTTTTAGTAGTATATATGCCATTTAGTTGCTGACATGTTCTGAATCTATGTTGTACCACATTATGCTTGTTAATTCTATTGTCATGAAGACTGACTATGCTGTGACAGCTATCATTTTTTTGGCATGGAGAAGTTAATTGCAGTCATAAATTACGGTTTGGTTTGTTTCATCGTTAACCCATCATCTGAATAGACCACTTTGGGTTGGAGAATTAGTCAACCAATTTCGAGCACAATACTATTTGAACTGACTGCTTTTTTTGTTTGGTTTGGAAGTTGAGTTCCAGTTTTAATTGGATCTTGTTGCTGTGCTTCATTTCTCTTTTAGATTGTTTTAGCTTACTAGAGAATTACCAATTATGAACATTTCTCTGCAGCTTGTCTTGTATATTTTCTATTGATGTGGATATTCATGTATATATGCACTTTTTAACTTTTGTAGGTTGATATGCTACAAGGGTTTCAAGGAGAGGCACAAGAGGATATTTGTGGCAACAGATCTGGTTGGTAGGCGAATCGACATCGAACGTGTTAACATTGTCATCAACTATGACATGCCAGATTTAGCAGATACTTATCTGCACAGGTTAGGTCTAGTGTTTTTTAGCTTGTCTTGTATGTCAAAGCCAGGTTCTCGTTTCTTGTATATATATGCATATTGTAAGTACATCTACAAATGCATTGTGGAGAAATGAACAATGAAAACAAAGAGAGAGAGAGAGAGAGAGAGAGAGAGAGAGAGGTTGAAGGGTGTTGATGCTTTACCAGGGCTGATGTTAGGGTACTTGTTATAAACAGGATCTTCAAAAGGAAAATTTTTTTCTTTTGTCAAACAGTCCAAAATTGCTATTAGTTTTCCTCAACCATCATACTATCCAAAAATTTAAATATAAAATTGCAAATGCATTTGCACACACCGCATGTACATATATATGTGGGAAGGATTCTCATGGGTTACTTTTATGGAATTTTTCTTTGAAGCATTTTTTTTAATGCACTTTATAGTGGGAAATTTCACTTGTGTTTTTTGTAGGGTGACGTGGGAAACAACAACATTGACAGTGACGGTGTTATGGCACGTACCTTCTTAATAAGAACAAAAACTGAGGAGGATCGGAATAAGCTTGCAGCAGCAATTCAGGAATACGCCCCTCCTGCTTGAAAATATGCACGGAAGTGATTTTCCATCACATTGTACAACCCTTGAGCTTTAACAAAATTGCAAATGCAAAAGTTTTTTCTAGGGTGGTCTTGTTGAAGCTGATGAATCCTCATTTTCTTTCGGAGGGAGGGCGAGCTCCAAAAATCTACCAAGTGGAGCCAATATTCAGAAGTTGATATTATTTTCATATGTACAAGAGGCTAATGCCCCTGTATCATGTAGAGAAGAAAGGATGTTCTCCGCCAAGTGGGTATTTTACAATCTTTTTTTTTCTTCTTCTAATTATCAAGCAAGGATTAGTAAAGAACTTGGCTTGAGTAGCTCCAATTAAAATGCCTTTAAATGTTGGTCATCTCTTCTGAAATGCCCCTAGGAATGTCAAATAATGAACTTGGCCCAGAGGTTATAGATGCACCAAGCTCATCTGAGATGCATGAATCAAATTCGTCTACTGCAGCTGCTGGTCTACTATTGCTGGTTTGTTGTTGGTGGTACCCTCGTGGTTGATGCCTGCTGGGTAGCTACAGCTGCAATGTTGCTGTGAGGCGGCTGCTACTAGATGTCGGTCTGCTAGATAAGTTTGTGGATACTTTTCGTGTCGTTTTGCCTGTCTTTGTTAGTTTCATGTTTTCATTTTGCTATCTGTTGTTTTTAATGCGGGTTCACAATTTGGATGTATTTGGGTATTTAAGTGAATTTACCCTTTTAGGTTTTATACACTGCTTCTAAAAGCAGTATCAGAAGTGTTTTTTTTGCTTGCACACCAACTTTAGATGATTTCATATCAACGTTATTAGTTTGTAATAGTGGTGCCTGAGGGATGCCTCTTGTAAATCTGTAAATCTTATAAAAATATATAAATTATCTTCAATTATTTTTGCTGGTAAATGTGTCGCAAAATGTTTATTTTTTCCCACTCATATTGTGTTGCTAGAAGTGTATTCTTAGTCAATGCCAATTTGTTGTTGCCAAAAGTAAACCTTTATTGAGAAACAAATCGTCGGAAAATGGCAATATTTACAGACGTAAATGTGTTGCCAAAAGTGTATTTTTTGCCAATGCTAATTTGTCATTGCCAAAGTGCAGCTTTATCAACAAACAAATTGTAGGCAAATGGCAACATTTACCGACGTAAATGTGTCACCAAAAGTGTACTTTTGCCGACGCATATTTTGTAGCTAAAAGTATATTTTTTGCCCATGAAAATTTGTGCCGCGAAAAGTGCCACACAATGATCATATTTGAATGACTTTTACCGACGCAAGGTAAATTGCCGATGATAGATGAAGGCTTTTATCGACGACTATGTTCGTCACTAAAGGCATTACTTTTACCAATGTAATGATAATGTCGTCGTCAAAAACTTTTGCCAACTCACTTTTGCCTACATAGCTTTGTGTGTCTGCAAAACTCTTTGCCGATGAATTTTCCCTTTTAGCAACATATTTTGTTGCGATGCGAAAAATGCAATTTCTTGTAGCGTTTTTTGTTTTCCATTTTTTAATGTTCAAATTTTGAGCAGGAGCCTTTATTAAGACAATTTTTCCCTTCTATAGTAAAATTTTCACAATTTTTTTTTATCAGCAAAAGTGAAACTTTATTGATGAAGAAAAAATTTCACAATTTATGGTATATACGAAATTAAAAAGTTTGAATTTTGAAAAACGTTCAACTTTTTGGAAGTGGTGGATTTCCAAAAACCTCATGTTGTTGGTGTTATTAGTCACAGTGGTGGCTTTCAAAAAATTTACATTTTTGGTGGTGGTTATCGTAGTTGTTGTTGGTTGTGGTTGCAGCGTTGTTGATAGTAATGGACCTTGTTGCAGTGGTAGCAATGGTAGCGATAGTGGAAGTGAAATTTCTTTGTTCGAACTTGAAATGTATGTAATTTTGTGTTCATTTGTCCATGTTGGACAAGTGTTTTTTTTTTTTTTTTTTTTTTTTGAAAGAGATTTTTGAAAGGGTTTTATAAAACAAGTATTATTTAATTTCCCTGGATGAAAAAGAAAAAAAGGTTTTTACTCAGTTTAGGTTTTGTGAAGAAACGGTTGGAAGTAGTTGGTGTTTGGGCTCTTTCAAAACATATTTAACCAACAAAGAAATTTCTCTATTTAATAAAATAATTTTTATGTAATTTTTTTTAATTTTCTATTTGACAAAAAAAAAATGTTATTCTAGCTGCAATAAAGAATAAAATAAATGGTTGTTTTAGCGCAACCAGAGAAATTTCTCTACTACAGATTTTTATGGTGGTTGATGGTTGTATGGGCTATTTCAATAGAAATTAAAAAATATAAAAATCTCTATGATTAGTGAACTTTCTCTTTCTGCAAAAGCCTATCTTATTTATGAACATCAAAATTTCATTGTCTAGTAATATTATTAGTGGTGATGTTGGTGGTTGTCGTTAGTAGTAGAGAAGTTTCAAGTTCACAGAGAAATTTCTCTATTGCAAAGTGAAATTAGGAGTATAACAAATAGATGTCTTCATTCAACCAACAAAGTGAACATAAAAAAATTATGGCCCTCAATTTGTGAAAGACCATAAATTGGCGCTTGTTAGTCTTTTTTTTTTTTTTTTGATAACTCAATATCCGACTTGCTAGACCAACTAATTTGGGGAACCGTTCCCACCATCTACTCATGAAGGGACCAATTAAAACTGGGCAAAGTCTCATATAAATTCTCCAAAAAAAAAATTACACTTGCAAAATTTTGAACCTGAAACCTTAGAGGAATTATGCCCTGATTAGGCCTCTGGCCTTGGACATGTTGTTAGAAACTAGCATAGATAGCTTGGGTAAGGGTGGACATTCATTAGGTCGGGCTGGGCATACACTATATAATAAGGGATTTTGCGTTTGCTTAGGCCTAGCTTGACCCAACCAGAATATTAGGCCTCTCGATCTGCCCAAACCCGGCCCAAAAAATAATTATAAATCCTAAGTCCAACCATCGGGTTATATGTTAAAAAAACTTAAAATATTTCATAATTAAATTCAATCACACATTATATTTTCTTAAATAAATATACTGACATGATTATATATGTTAATAAAATCAATAAAGATAAAATCTAGATCTCAAAAAAAAATAATAATAATATATTATAATTAATTAATTTAATAGGAGGCCGGGTTGGGTTGAAAGTATAAATTCTAAACCCAACCCATTAATATATCGGGCTAAAAATGTTGGCCCAGCTCGGTCTTATGGCCTAAAACAATCTTCTAAAACCCTAAAAAAATAGGATTGGATTGGGCGAGCCAATGGACCGATGTCCACCCCTAAGCTTGGGCATGTTATTTTGGCAAAAACAAAAGTTTGTTTCGTGCTTGGAGATTATAACTTTTCTAGTTTTTGTTGATTTTGTTTTATTTTTATCTTAGCACAGATTTTAATTTTTCATGACTGCTTCATATTCATATTAAATAAATATTTAGTAAAAACTAGAATAAATATTAAGTTTGTTGATTTTAATTTTTTTAGCATGATAGGTTTTTTTTTCTTTTTTCTTTTTTCTTTTTCTTTTTTTTCTTTTTTTGTCTAATTTTTATCTCTAAAATTGTAAGATTTTGATAATAACATTCAGAGCATTTTGACCATAATAAGATGGGTTCTTCTAAAAAATTAAGAATTTTATGTAATTATGAAGTTGTTAGATTTCTAAATTTTGGTTGAAATTTTAATGCAAACACTGAAATCTTTGAGAAATTTCACTACCTTATATTGATCACATGGCTTGTTTGATCAATTAGAACAAACAAATATTTTAAAACTATCAATTTTATAAAACAAATGTATGGTCCAATTGCATCATGTAACGCCCTCAAGATAAAGAGGATAATCCAAGCCAAGAGATTCATAAACATAATAGGAAATGTATTACTTTCATTCATCAAAGTTTATATTACAAAAGAGATTACAAGCATTATACTTTCATCAATGTTTATTCTGACACGACAGCATGTAACACTAGTCAATAACAAGAGAATAAATGCCCTACAGTCTTACATCTTTCCAAGAGATAACTTGGTTATAACAAAAGAGAGTCATAAGCTCTTTACAATTAAAGCCCTCGGCTTAAGAAGAAAACATATAAATATATAGGTAACAAAAATAGAGCCTTCAGCCCCGTCCTTCCAAGTTATGCCCTCGGAGGTGGCATGTCACCTGTACCAGAAAATCGTTTTCCAAGTAGGGTGAGCCAAAGCCCAGAAGAGATATATTAACACAATGGATGAGATTCAACTAAGATATAAGCACTATATAAATGTTCAACACTTAAAACCAACTGACATCTTCTTTTCATGGCCAAACAATAATGACATCAATATCTGAAACCATTTCCATTCATTTGTTTAAATCAACTCATGGATATAATCCCTTGTTAGCCCATAAAACGATCTAAGAACTCTCAGAAGATTCGGTTCATCAAGTCCATAAACATAGCTGGTGCATTGGTTAGCCCGAAAGGCATCACCAGAAACTCATAATGGCCATACCGCGTACGAAATGTCGTCTTCGGGATATCCTCCCCCCTTACCCTCAACCGATGGTAACCCGATCTCAAGTCTATCTTAGAGAAACAGCGGGGTCCTTTCAACTGATCAAACAAATCATCTATACGATGCATAGGATATTTGTTCTTAACTGTAATCCGGTTCAACCCTGGGTAATCAATACAAAGTCGCAAGGCTCCATCTTTCTTTTTAGCAAAGAGGGCCGGTGCTCCTCAAGGCAAAGTACTAGGGCGAATAAAGCCCTTATCTAGTAATTCCTGGAGTTGAATCTTCAACTCACATAACTCAGTTGGCGCAAACTGATATGGTGCCATAGAAATTGGTGTTGTGCCAGGCACTAAATCAATAGATAACTTGATCTCACGGTAAGGTGGTAAACTAGTAAGATCCTCGGGAAAGACATCTGAATACTCACAAACCACTCTTGGTAACTCAACCCGAACTTCATCATACTCTCCACTCAGGAAGCTAGCAATA